AATGACAGATCCTGAAGCTGAGGCTCCAGTACTTTGGCCATCTCATGAGAAGAGAGGACTCCCTGGAAAAGACCTTGATGTTGGGAAAGTGTGAAGGCAAGAGGAGAAGGGGAAGACCGAGGATGAGATGGCTGGACAGTGTCACCGAAGCAACCAAAATGAATCTGACCCAACTCCGGGAGGCAGTGGAAGACAGGAGGGCTTGGCGTGCTCTGGACCATGGGGTCACGAAGAGTCGGACACGACTAAACGACTAAACGAACGATTTGGTAAGAACTGTTCGCCTCCAACTATGTAGGCTGAAGTGAGTCTGATTCTGCATTTATATGAATATACTCAGGTGTCATGTTGCATGTGCAGTAGACATGTGAAGAAAGGAGCCCTATCAGTTGTGTCTCCACACAATCTGAAGCACTTCCTCTATCCAATCTGTTGCATGGAGAGTGACAATAGAGGAATGCAGGTAGCACATTCCGTTCCTCCCACGTAAATTTAACCTCTAGGACCAGAATAGGACTGAACAGATTCAGTTTGAGATCTCAGTGAACTACTCTCACTTAACAGGATAATGCAGAGAAAAACACTAAGGGCAGATGAAGTACGTGAGCCTGTGTAGCCAATGTCTATGCAAATGCCTATTTTATGAATACACCAAGATTTCAGACATGTGAATCTCATTCAAGCACCTTTAAGGAGTATGACATTTTAAAAAAAATGTTTATAATTTGTCAAAGACTTTCAAAATTGTTCATGCAATTTATCTCTCTCAAATTATACATTAAGAGAAACTGCAGTAACTTTTAGATCTTTAGTTACCAATCTGGATGTTGGCAATGGTTTCTGTCTGTCGATCACACAGTGGACTAACACCCAAGCAGTATTTTTTCTCAACATCTCCTGCAAACAGAATACTGCTTTCATTAGATATTCTCTGTAATTCAACACGCCTCAAAAGTAGCAGGCTTTCATTTGTTACAGTCAAAGGGTAAAATTTAGGACAGTCAGTATTTATTAAACTTAAAAATATTCAGGACTACAATTTTATCATTATAAAATAAGCTTCATTGTAACTGTTTAGATACATATGGTAAATCATTAGAAAGGAAATTTGTGAGGAGTATCAGTAGTTTCCAACTGTATTGGTCCATTAATTGGTGAGAAACTGCTGGCACAACAAATTCATACTCCCACCTGCAGCTCCCTATGAATCCTGAGTTGGGAAAATGAGGGGGAGGCAAGGGGAAGTCTATTTCCACAATGCGCTATGCTGTCTCCAATAAAATCAAAAGCATGTAAGACAGCAGGTCTTGCTGAACCTATGTCCTCACAGACTAGTACTGGTTTTCAAAAGAAACAACTGTCAGAAAGAAGTAAGATCACTGTTATTGACTTTAAAAGAACCATAGCACATTCAGTAGCATTATTCCATGAAATAATTTCAAATACAGGAATAACTTGCAGAAAGTTCAAGGCCAAGCAAACCAGGAGTCTCCAGAAATTCCCACTTCTTGCCTTAAAGATAAGGAAAGCAATTTGTACCCTCCAAAATTTGTTCAAGTACAACTCCCATTAAGTCCGTTCAAGCACAGCCAATAATGAAATATGACTGATGCTATGGTCAATCAATACTGGAACTACACCGGTTGTCTACCTTTTCCCAAAACAGGTTTACTACGGAAATGCATTGACACATTTTGAAAGAGGAAAGGCTAAATTGCCGATGATAAGGGATGGCAACGTTTTCTTGGTACTCAAATAACTAAATGGATGGAGAAATATGGCTACCACCCAAGGACAATATCCTCCCCAAACTTATCATTGGCTATAGCTAGTACTGTGTTTCCCTGAAAATAATACAGGGTCCTATATTAATTTTTGCTCCAAAAATGCATTAGGACTTATTTTCAGGGAATGTTTTATTTTGCAGTTATGTCATATTCTAGTTGCTGCACAATGTTGGAAGGCAGGGTTTCACTTAACTGGGGCTTATTTTTGGGGTAGGACTTATATTACAATCCTGCCAACCTAGCAGTTCGAAAGCATGTAAAAATGTGAGTAGATAATAGGTACCACCTCAGTGGGAAGAAACGGCATTCCGTGTTTAGTCGCGCTGGCCATGTGACCATAGAAACTATCTTCGGACAAATGCTGGCTCTATGGCTTGGAAATGGGGATGAGCACCGTGCCCTAGTTTCGGACACAACTGGACTAAATGTCAAGGGGAACCTTTACCTTATATTACAAGCATCCTTAAAAGTCATTCTAGAGGTTCAGGTTAGGTCTTATTTTCGAGGAAACAAGGTAACACCTTAAAAGCTTTCAAAATAGTTAAAATAATTGTAGTGGACAACCATACAGTTATAAGGACTTTAGCAACCTAATCTAATTGCAATTCCAGTTCCTCAACTGTACAGGCAGTTTAAATCAGCGTACAGAAAATAGTGTCAAAGATATGTGGGTGTGGGGTTTGTTTTTGGGTTTGTTTGTTTTTGGTTAATGTGAAACAGCATTTTAGGCAGGAAAATGTAAGGTAAACACATTTTATTAAACTCAAATCCATCCACCAACCATGATTTTACTAAACAATTCCAACTGCATATATCTGTTGCTCCTGTGAACTGCTCAAATATGTTTTCCAATCTCCTACAAAAGCCCGGGAACAATTCAGTCTGCTTTCATTTTATATTCCTTGAAGAAATTGCTTCATTTTTTCAGCACTTGCCTTGATGAAAGAATTCTTCTGTTACTTTCTCACTCCACTGCTTGCTCAGTTCCCAGGTCCGGCAGGGGTTACAAATATCAGCACATTTCAAAGCCATCTAGCAAATAAACACACAGTTGTTAACTGCATTTTGCAAGATATCATAAACCACCTCATACCACACACTTAATTTTGGAATTCACAACATCAAGCATAAAGCAGCTGCTTTTAAAATCCAATGCCTAGGTAGCAAGTAAGTGATATCTGTAAGGACAGGCTGTTTATCTGTAACTGTGGTTCTTTGAGTGGTTACCCATGAATTCACACACGGATACTTTTAAGCTTGTACAAAAGAATCTCTGGAACATTCTAGAGTTTACCTCCTGCCTTCTATCATATATTGCTCCACCCAAGGGTCATTCCCTCAGTTTTCTCTATCTGCCACCAAGCACAAGCATGTCTAGTCTGGCAGGCTGAGGGAAGGCTGGGCAAGTTGTGTGAATTCATGGATGACCACTCAAAGAACCACAGTTATATGTAAGCAACCTGTTCTTTTTCTTCACGGTCTCCATAAATCACATACATGGGTGACCCAAGCTCATTTACCTGGCTATGGGATATCACACCAATGTTGTAGATAACACAACGCTACTGAATGACGCATCCATCTTTGCTCTTATGTCAAATCTATAATGGTTTACAAAGGTGATGGGTTGGGATCAAGTTGCAGTCATACAAATGTGTTACAACTGGGCTCCTGTTAAGAAGGCTATAGATGCCACCACAGCTCACATGGAATGCCCTTCCAAGAGTCTGGCAATCCTTTCAAAGAATCTGGCAATCGGCAAGCAAGTAAGATAATGAAATTGCCTTTGCAATTCATCTGAAAAGTCTTTGTGTGGACACTTGTTCTCCTTTTCTTTTTCCTTGACGACAAACTTAACAGTCTATCTATTTTTCTATTCAATTTGTTCTATCTAAATAGAAAGTCTCACATCTAAAGTGTGAAGTGTCTTCTCTAGGCTGGATGCTGGATTTAGAAATAAAGTTGGTAAAACTAGCAGTTGCATGAAAATGGGTAAAGTACATTAGGTAAAAATGAAATGTTAAATAAAGTGACTTCCTCTTTATAGAACTAGAGATAGGATTTATCAACATAAAGCTGACAACTCACTTGCCCTTCTCACTGAGATTACAGTGACTAGAAACACAGTATTATATGATATTAGACTTAAATTAACCATGGCCATTGGTCCAAGTAGGAGGGGTTGTTAACTGATACAACATTAGACAAATATCACTGAGGTGTCAGAGGTTTTACATTTGGATAAATATTATTTAATCCTCTCAAGAACCACTTAACGAGTTTGAGAATAATTTTGAACAAGTTGAGCCTTCTGACTGATGTGTGACAATTGCTGACAAATACACTTTTAGCAAGGATTGAGCAAGGCCTTTTCTTTAAGAGAAAGAAGAAAATGTAAGATGGGAATTTTACAGTAGCCTCAGACTCTTTCACCATCAACAACAGCCCAGGAGCAGAAGACTCTGCATTTGGTATTTGTCCAAGTGGCAAACAGACCCATCTGTGGCGCTCCCCATTTCTGTGTTATTTGATTGTAAATTTCATGAGACAGATCCCATTCATAAGAATGAATCTGACCCCTGCTGAGAGTATCTGAAGTGAGTGACACTAGGAAAAATTATCTCTCCAGGGTCTATTCCCAGAAGAGCATTGTTAGAAGTAGCAAAGTCACTGAATGTGTCCCACCCTGTTTGTTTATATAGTCATGGTGGTGATATCTATAATTTGAAATATCTTCCCCACCACAATTGACTTAGAAGGCTTTAAAGACATGCAGCAATGGGCTTGAGTTACAGGAAGCCAGATTTCAGTTCAATGTCAGAGGAAACTTCCTGTTAGAGCAATACGGAACTGATTACTTCAAGAGGTGGTGAGTGCTTCAACACTGGAGGCAAGGTTCCTTCTAAACTGCATGCATGCTTGCAACTCCACCTCCCTCCATGCAGCTTTCTTCCTCCTTTGCACAGTGATAGTTTTCAACCCCTTTGATTCCAGTTGCAACTGAACCCTGTGTGCAGTGGGGCAGAGTTGTGCATGCGTGCAGAGACAAAGGTGTGTGAGAGGGGTGGAGCCTCACCCAGCAGGGCTGAAAATTAGAGGGTGCGTTGGCTGGAGGCATTCAACAGAAATTTAGACAACCACCTGACAGATACCCTTTGATTTGTATTCCTGCATTGAGCAGGGGGTTCAATTTGATGGCTTTATAGTCCCCCTTTAACTTCATTATTCTATGATTCTAACATCTCTAGTTGGCTTATGTATTGCGTCTGTTCTTGAGGTGACCACGGTGCATGAATCTACTTGCCTTGGCAATGGGCACTCCATCCCATCAAACTGGCATCTGCTACTTTTGCCAGCAATGGTTGGAGTGTTTTGAAAGGCATACCCATCAATAATTTGTGTTTTTTTGGGGTGGGGTGGGGGGTAGCCATCACTGAGAGCAAAAAAGGAGCATCTTGAGTTCATGGATTTGGTTAGCCAAGGCAAACTGCAAGAAACAATGATGATATGTGGAAGTAAGCATCTTTCAAATCCACAACCACAGACCTGTCTCTTTTCTTGAGAAGTGAAAGTATATTTGATAATGTCACCATCTGGAATTTTTTTGCTATTGTGTAACTGGTGACCTTTCTCAAGTCCAGAATAGGACATAAACCTCCATCCTTTTTTGATACTGTAAAATATCTGGAGTAGAACCTGTTCTTTGTGAGGCTTTGAGAAACTCTCTTTATTGCATCCCTTTTAAGCAGTGTTATTTGCATCCCTTTGAAGCTATCTCCTCTTCTAGAACTTCTGATGGTGTTGTTGATCAAAAAGTCAACAGGGAAGTTAAAATTTACGAAGAAACTCCAGATATTCCCAAAAAGATACACTGGCAGTGACAAGAAAGGAACTGAGAGAATTACCATTGGATGGAGCAATATATAAGAGAAGGGAGGGATAAAGCTCTAGAATGTTCTCAAGCATCTTTTGCGCAGATGCAGATATACCCATATGTGGGATTCATGGAGACTACAAGAAAGAACAAGGAGGGCTACAATCCAACACACAATTACACATGAATGAAGCATGAGTAACTGAAAAAAAGCACAGCCCCTACATATAAGAAGACAACAGGTTCACATAAGTCAGGCAGAAATTAATATTTCTAGAAACACCAATGGAATACTAGAATATTACAAAAATATTAATGTTGTATAAAACTATTTCCAGTAGTCTGAAACAAAGGTATGAAATGTTAAACCAAATCTGAAATAGTTGTTTGTCTACATGCATAGTATTATACAGACAACAAATATAACAGGTCCTTTTCTCAAGGGTCTTACAATCTATAAAAGACTCGGAGAAATGGAAGTAAGTATGAGCAGAAGAATATATGGTTATTTCAATTACATGTACTTTGGCTTAGTTATAAAAAGGCATGGGAACCAGAGGAATGAAGGAATGATTTCCTTCTTGGAACAATGGGTTTTAATGTGATTAAAGGAAATTATGTGGATACCTTCCATGAGATGTTTTCAATCATAGGGCAGCATAATAAGGTTGTAATTTATTCCTCAATTCCATTTATCCATCACTATTCATGATCACTATCACCCCGTAGCAATTTTATCCATAGAAGGGTTTTTTCTCCCCCATTCTTTTTTAATTAGACAAAGTTGCAATATGACTTGACTTGTTCAATGTTTCAAGATTTCTCCCTTCCACCTCTTCACCAACTGAAATTACTATACTATTTCCTATGCTGTAAGATGGAGAGAAAGGGCTGGGTAGCAGTCTCCACTGCTATATGACATGTTATAATTCACAATACAAATTTCACAATCAGACTTATTTCTCTATGCACTTAAATATGAGTTTGACCTGAAATGAATCACTGACGTTTCACCCAAACACTTCCCAGTTCACAAACTTCCCATGCTAAGTTTCTCTACATCAAAACACACCAGTAAATGATTCATGTATTTCCCCAACAATGAGATTCACCAGCCCATACTAAAAGCAAACTATAAGCTAATGGTTAGGTAAGCAATTTTGCTTACCATAGCAAAATCCAGTAGAGAACTGTATGTGCCAATAACTTCATGTAAATGTTTGAAAAAAAATCACTTCCTTTTTTATTAGAAGAGCAATAATCATGTAAATTTTTGGAAAAAAAATTCACTTCCTTTTTTATTAGAAGAGCAATAATTCCTTATTTTGAAAAGTGAACATGGTAGTTGATGTCAAAACATAAGAAGCATCAATACACTCCCTTGCCTCTCAATATAGTCCTACAAGAAAAAAGTTAAGGAACACTAGTGGAATACGGGAACACTAGTGGAATATGGGAAGCATTTCCCACTGTGTTGCAAAAATACAAAAGATGGATGATTTCAGGATTGCCAAACTTAAGAGAGCAAAGCAGGCTTTAATTAAATCCATGTCTGCCAGCTAAAAATCACTATGTAGCAGATATTTAACAATGTTATTGCTCTTCCATATAAGAATCCAATGATTCACCTGAAGAACAAGATGACGATGATTCTCGTCTTCTAAGCATAAGTCTTCCTTGTCCAAATGAGTGCGAAATAGGGACAGATACTCATTTTGCCGACTAATATCAGTGGCAAGGATCAATGCCCCTATCTGGCTTTCCATTAGCTGCCTAAAACATAAGAAACACAGAAAGAACTTTAATGTATGAAAATCATTTACACGAGGTTCAAGTAAACACAATTTCTTGTCAATACAGAACTTGCAAATCCTTCGAAATATATAGTTTTTAATACAATTCTTTGAACATAACATTCCTCCAAAGATTATACCTTACAATTCTGACATCACTAAAAATTATAATACTGTACATAGAAAATATGCATTTACAGCTATAGTTGTAGCCTATGTTTCAATAAGAAATATTTTGGTTGCCTTCAAACAAAAGTGCAATTAATGCATTGTTCTGCAAAGAATTTATGCTCTTTATTTTATACCAATTTAAAATATTTCTTTATATTATGTGCAGAGAAAGCCCGGTATAAGCAAAAATGATATATACCTGTTTTCTAGTGACATATGTGCAAATAATCCAGATTCTCTCAACAATCCCACTGCAGATCTCCAGTGGTGATTTTCTAACACTGAGGTATTCTGAAAATACATAAAGATGGTGCTCTATCAAATATTGCTTGAATCCTAACTGTTTTCTTCAACTGACAATTGATAATGCTAATATTTCACTAGGAGGCAGAAGACGGGAATACAACCATGTTGATTTTGTTAAGCATTTCAACAGCTTTCTGCAACATCAACCATGGTATTTTTCTTAATTCTTTCCCCAACCTGGGACTGAGAAGCACGTTTTACTGACGGGGACATTCTTGAAAGTCCAATAACAATGAAAAGGAATGGGTACATTCACCAAAGATGTTAGGCAAGAAGAGACTATGGTCCTAGAATGTAAAAGAGTTGGGCTTTCAATTTGGAATAAAGTACATACTGTAATTTTTATATCCTGGTACCATAGTCTCTTCTTGCCTAACATTCTAGAAAATGTAACTGAGGACTACATAGAAGTACTACATGGCAGTCTCTCCCAGTGGCTTTCTGGAAATTTGGGCTACTGTGCCCTCAGAGTACAGGAAACACTCCAGCACACTCTCTTTTATATTCTCCCACTCACAGGAAATTCTCTAGCAATGTCTATCTAGTTTTGGACTGGATAAAAGTGAAAGCAGAAGTTTAATCCAGATAAGACAGAGGTATTATTGATTTAAGGTTTTAATGAATCTAGTTTATTCACCATACATTCTATATGGAGTGGAATCACTAATAAAATGGCAATTTGGCCATTCAGGAGTTTCTTGAGGAGTCAAACTGGCATTTCAGACCAGGCTAACTACATTGACCAGGGCTCTCTATAGCAATTTCATCTTACACAACAACTGGGCCCTTACTTTTTTTAAAAAAAGAAAGAAACAGTTTCTCACTTGAATCACGTCATGTATTGGTCAATTTTAGTCAGATAACAGTAATGTGCTAATGTAAGGCTGCTCTTGAAGATTATCCAAAAGATTCTGTTACTCTAGACTGCAGCTTCAGGAATTCTGTTGGAAGCTATCCATCCAGATATTACACTTTACCAGTGCCACTAGGTACAGTACTCCTTTTTTCACAGCTCAATAGCCAGTGCTAGCTTTGATCTACGGGGCTTAGGATCAAAATGTCCAAGGACTCATATCACCCCCACCTATGACTGCCATTCTATTGTAAAGGCCATTCTCTCAGTCATACTGTCACAGTTCAGAAGGCTGACAGGCATTCAAGAAAAGTCCCAAGATTTGGAGTAGCCTTCCTTCTGCCTGCTTCAGGCAAATTGTAATCTTATTCAGGAGGCTATAAAAACCTTGATTCAATATGTATCTGTTGCTGTTCAATTTCTGTTTCATCTTTTATGCTCTATTTTATTTGTATTTAGATTTTAAATAAGCTGCCTTGTGTATCATTGCAAACAGACAGGGGAAAAAAAAGAATGAATGAATCACATCTTCTTCCACCATGGATTCTTAACTGCTATTTAAAATGTATGTCTGTCTGAACAAAAGTGTACACTTCTACTTACCTTGTATAAACTTGCTAAATAATGGTTTGTTTTAATAAGAAAAGGCTGATTAACACCTGGGTGATCCAAATCATGAGTGGCAGCTGCTATTAAACTGAGCAGAATGTCCCATGGAGTTAGAGACTGAGAAAGCTGCAATACATGAAATACATAAACATAAATACTGCTACTTCTAAGAAATTTGTATACTGTTCATTGTACCAAAAAAGGCAAAAACTGAATCTCATAAACTGCATTAAATAATTATTTCAGTAGTTTATATTTTAGCTATTTTTAGCTATTCCACAGGATCCAGGGACCAGTATCTAACGTTCTGTTAGTTAAGAGGGAACTTGGGCGGATATACTCCTGCAGTGCCCATGCCTCCTTAAAATCTGCTTCGAAAGTCTGGAAAATTATCCAAAGCAGGTTTAGTGCAATGCAGAAGGGAAGAGGAGAAAGTTCTACTGTATTAGCAACTGGACACTAGCACAACACTGAATTTATATCATAATTTTTAGCAACACTAAAGGAATAGGACAGAAAAGACAACATTCATAACCACACTGGCTCAATTTCTTTTCAACAGATACTTTGTAATAAACAGCTAAAGAAAGTTTTCTGGCAATTTTTTAGTTACCTTGGGTTCGTTTAAATAACAGTGCATGGCCTGAGTCACATCAGCAGCATGAACTGCATTGTGATATGGATTGTGACTGTGGTAATCTTCTTGAACCATCACTACAAAGGAGAAGAAAGGCTTGTGTTATTTTTTTCAAAAAGTTTAACACCACTGTTGAAAATGCACATTGACTGAAATCCTCTTGTGCAACTTTATAATCCTAAATGCTCATGACATCAACAGTTGATATTAATTTTTAATATTACCCGTCAGGGTGAGGCTCCCTAAGGATCCTTTTCAACCTGGGGAAGTCTTTGGAAGTCTCATGACAGGTGTGGGGGAAATTTTAATATCTGAGAATTACTGCTGCCCTGTTTCCCCAAAAATAAGACCTAACCTGAAAATAAGCCCTAGTATGATTTTTCAGGCTGCTTGTAATATAAGCCCTATCCCAAAAAATAAACCCCACCCTCCATTATTGTGCAGCATTGTGCAGCGACCAAAAGAAGACATTACTGAATTTGAATAAATATAGATTTTTGTACATGAAAAAAATAAAACTTTCCCTGAAAATAAGCCCTAATGAGTTTTTAGAGCAAAAATTAATATAAGACCCTTTCTTATTTTCAGGGAAACATGGCAGTTGTCTTGCTCCGAAGATCAGGATCACCAGCAACGTTTCAGATACTAAAGGCTCCCGTTCTCCCATTCCAATGTTCCCAAAAGCTTTCCCAGTTTAATACTGATTCCCTAGGAAGCCTCAGAACTTGACAGGATTAACATCTACAGCTGATAATGTTATCAGCATTTACAAAAATGAGAAGATTTCAGCTATTGTTTCAGTCTCATTTTTAGCCAAGAATATCACTCACTTTAGTGTAGTAAGCAACTAGAGTAGGTCCATTTGAATCAATGGAATGTATGAAGAACATGATTCACCAAATCATGTCTGGTTCAATGGATCTACTCTAGTGCAATTTACTGTATGAAGGACGTGATTCACCAAATCATGTCTGGTTCAGTGGATCTACTCTAGTGCAATTTACTACACAAAGCAACAGGATTTTAGCCACAGGTAGACTAGAATTACATAACAAATCAGTTTCCACTCTTTATGTTACAGAATAAACACAAGCATACAAATGTTTACATCACAGAGGTACAGAGATGTCAGTGCGTACTGGCAGTGACTGACTGAAACTAAGATTCTGGATAAAATACTGTATCTTAGCCAGGCTTTTAATACCTGCTTCATCAAAAGATGTCCTAATTCCTATAGCTCTATTTCATCCTGTATAATTTCATAACTAATTTACCAGAATAGCGCTAATTTATGACAAGAAAACTGCAATGGACAAATTTCCTTTTTATGCAGATCAAACGACAACAATACCACAAGAATCTTCCTAGCCAGGTACTTAACATGCATTAACTGGCACAGCTCTTACAAATTGTTACAAAAGATCCAGACTTGTTCTCTAAGGAAGTACTTCAGATATGGAGTAATAACACTTTTCTAAGCACTTGAAGTATATAATTTTATTGCTGTAAAAGGCAGACTTCCCTTCGTTTAGTACATCTATGGCAGTCTGTAATTGTGTGTAAAGAAGATCAAAGCCACGGTAAATCTACCAAATAGCATTTGTGACAAATTTCCATCACACTCTCCCTCCTCCTATTCATCAGTAACCTTTTGTCAAATATACTGTTGTTGTTTTTTTCACCTTTTCACCTTTATTTTAGAACTTCTTTAGAGGATGGGCACTCACTTCTACCAAGACCAATGAATAGGCCTTGGATATCTAGAAAATAACATTGGTCCCACTAAGAAAGCCACTGGCTTGAGAATGTGTGAACCTGTAATAAATAATCATGCCACTCTCCTTTCTCTGTTTGCTAGGATGGCCGTGCTTTCCTTTTTTCTATGCTGGGGAATACAAGTTAAAGTACCAAAGAGGACCTCATCCAACTGTATAGCTGTCTCACCCTTTGCACAGGGCCTGCTGCTGACACCACAAATATTTTAGCATCTGGAAAAGCCCTTACTGAAATGTTTCATTTGCAAAACTAACTCACCAGAAGTTTTAAAAGTAAACTTTTAAAAGCCTTTTACCTAAAAATCTGCGGAGCTTCATTGTATCTAGCTGGAAGTGTTCTATAAGTCCATGAAGATTGAACAGGTGGAAGGTTAAGGTGACTAAACTGTTTCCTAAAAAAACCAAGAAAAATCGAAACATGCCTTTAATGTGAAGGAGTAGAAAATTATGCTGGCTGAATTGTTTGCTACACTTCACTATATGGGCTTAAAACTCAGTCATCTGCAAAATGCAAACACTTTTCCAGACATCTAGCCACAAGAAAAGAAATCTGATGCAATAGCTTTCTCAAATAACAGGCAGATTACTAGAAAACGTACCCATAAGAATCAAGTAACTGTAACTAATCTTGACCCACAGAATGATAGACTGCAATCTCTCCCATCCTCAATCTTTGGCCCACAGGATTACCCAGCTAGCAGAGTTCACCTACCTATTAAGTACAACAATTAAGAGTTTCGTACACACCTTTCTTTCCAATCATTTATTTAAAACAATGGTTCCCAACCTGGGATAACCTGGGTGTTCTTGAACTACAATTCCCAGAAACCCCAGCCAGCACAGCTGGTGGTGAAGGCTTCTGGGAGCTGCAGTCCAAGAACACCTGGGTTACCCAAGGTTAGGAAACACTGATCTAAACATAATTTTTTATCAGAACTATTTAAAATTTAGTATACTTCCGAGCTCAGAATCTGCTCTACCACATACAAACTTCGAAAAATTTCACCCAGCATTGTAAAATTAACATACTAGTTTCTGAGATAACCCGTGACAAACTATCTTTCTTTTGCTTCTCATTTGTTTGCTTGATTTTTATTCACACTAATTTGTTTGAATGGCATATCTATATTGGAAGATAACATAGCATATTCATAATGATCTTTATGCAAACAAATATAAAAACTGAAATAATCTATAATAAGCATATAATTGGCTGTTTTAAGATTATTCCTTATCATTTATATATGCACTATATAGCCACAATATTTCTTATCAAACATTTTATTTCTAATCCCTAGGCAACAGAAAGTTGTACAGACAGTTATCAGCAAACTCATTAGGCTGACCCCTAATCAGTTTTCAGCATAAATTACAGTGGTTATTCTAAAGATGTGTTCACAGCGTAGAGCCTCAGCAAAACATCACCTCGTGTCGGCAATCAGCTCGGCTCACAACAAGCTTTTGCACTGAATTAAAGCTCAAGAGAACAATATTTATACCAGATATTTGCAGAAGGTAGATCTCCATGATGGACAAATATTTAGATGATCAGTGTGATTTCTGATTTACAGTTATTTTAGAACAGTGGTACCAAATCACACAAATATCATCCCTACCATAAATTCTATTAGTGGAACAAAGAAAACCTTGGTCTTTTTAAGAACTCTATCAATTCTGGTTCTCATTCTTAACTTAGAATTCTTTAATTCTAAAGTGTACGTCTCTTGCACCAGGTCCAGTTCTACTTTCAAAAAAGTGGTTCCTGAAAGGGTACAGTCTGCTCACCCCTAGCTTATACACCATAATGCTAATCCTGTAGCAAAAAGAACATAGCTTTGATATATTCTTTTTTGATACAGAGGTATATTTCTCTGCCACCAAAATCAATCTGTCACACTCAAATTAATGTAAATCATTTAAAATATTTCTGATTAGTCTGATTAAACCAACTAATTAATTCATTATTATCTTTTAAATTGTATAATCCAAATTTTCAGTCAACGTTCCTCTTTCTGAATCTCAAAGGCAATGAGAGATTATCCTATAATGTGAAGTAATTTACAGTTACTGAAAATCTTACACCCCTAAAACCAGCATTAATGGTTAAATAAATGATTGAACAGAATGTGATACTCATTCTCATCTTCATGCTGCTTATCATCTGAAATGGGGAATTCACTCTATCCATAACCAAGATTTTAAAATAAAATTCAAAAAAAGGTCAAGACCCAGCAGTGCCAGGGAAACTCTAAATGTAAAACATGATATTAATTTCACCAGGGACTTCAAAGAGGGCAGGCCCATTGTGGTTATTCCAGCAATACCTTAAACCTGCTTTTATCCTTTTTGTTAACTTTCAGCAGAACATCTGTTCTCTAAATAAAGCAAAGCAATACCCAGTGGCAGGTATGCTAATTCTCAAGCTTTCTTGTGAAGATGCTGCAAACCCAGTACATACTAGTTCATTTCTTTTTAAAACAATTCCCCAGTAAACAAGGTATAGAGCTCTAAGAAGCGGTTTAACAGAGTGCAAGTATTTAGTATACTAGAAATTCCTATTTATATGTTAAAAATAAGTGCTGGCATATCAAACTTGAACTGGTATCACTGCATCTTCGCTAATACTCTGAAACGGATTGTTGCAAAATTTTTATTTACTGCATGTTTATGAGGGGGTGCTGATATGTATTGAGCCTTTCCCAGAAAAAAATGAGCTAGGAAGCTATAAACTGCAGGGTGTATTGGCCAATTTGTCTGTATTCAATGGGGCAAAAATCAACTACCTATGATTTTAACTTATCTTTCATGTTCAGGTCCAAGATGAACATGGCAGCACCTCCAGAAAAGTTCGATGTGCAAGAGCACAGGACCATAATCAAGTTCCTGTTTCTCCAAGGAAAAGGTGCAAAGCAGATCCATGATGAAATGTCACAAACTATGGGTGACAGTGGCCCTTCATATGCAACAGTTAAACATTGGGTTGTCAAATTTAAAACTGGCCATTTTGGTGTTGAATGTGAGAAACCCAGTGGAAGGCCTGTTTCTGTCTCTGTGCCTGCAAATGTGAAAGCCATCCATGACATGATCATGGAGGACCGCCGAATATCAGCCAAAATTTTGCTATACATCTGAGAATAGCACGTGAGAGAGTTGGTGCCATTATCCACAACAACTTGGAAATGAGAAAACTGGCAGCAAAGTGGATCCCCAAACTTTTGACAACCAAACAAAAGAGGAAACATGTGGAGTCATCGGTGGCTGCTTTGGAACCTTTTGCAAGAAATGAGTCAGATTTCCTGGACAAACTGGTAGCTGGTGATGAGACATGGATCTACTGTTATAATCCTGAGACAAAGGAACAGTCTAAGGAATGGAGGCACGGTAGTTCCCTCAGGCCAAATAAGTTCCAAGTGCAAAGGTTGGTGCAGAAGCAAATGGTAACAATTTTTTGGGATAAGAAGGGAGTTCTGCTGGAGAACTACCTCCAACAGGGTTCAACCATCAATGAAAAATATTACTGTGCTTTATTGATGAAGTTGAGGCAAAACATCAAGGAAAAACATCAAGGAAAAACATCAAGGAAA